TTTAAGAGACAGTAAATGGGCTGAATGCTTGAAGCATACTGTAAGAATATGATAAGGAACCAAGTGAATTAATAGGATAAATCAGATCTTAATTAGAGTGCCTCGTGAGATCTCTGATGAAAAAATAAACTATAGAAGCATTGTCTGGAATAAAAAAAAAATACAAACACAGAAAGAAACAAAAAAAAAGTTATGAAGGTCCAAACATGCAAAAGAAGCTTCTAAATGCAGGAATCCCCTGCTGGTGTGATTACACTTAAATATTCCAAAGTTTTGCATATAATTTCCTTTGCCATATTTAGATACATAGTGATGTCCATAATGACAAAAACCAACAGCAGTCTGTCGTATACTGAAGCTGTTCAGCAATGTTAGTTCTGGGTGACTTATTCAGTCCTTACTTTGAATGCTGTCTGCATCTATTAGTCATCTAGATCTCTCCAGTACAAGTGGACCCAACCAGGCATGGTAAATTTATTAATGTGGGTAGGAAGTGGTTATCATATTGTAAATCAATATATTAATCACAATTTATTTTGTTGAAGTCTTGTTTGTTGTTGAAACAAAGTGGTTAAAGGGACTCTCCAGTGCCAGGAAAACATATCAGTTTTCTGGCACTGTAGGACCCTGCAGTGCCCCTTTCCTTCCATCCCCCATGCCATGTTGCTGAAAGGGTTAAAACCCCTTCAGTGACTTACCTGAATCCAGCACTGATGTCCTTTGGCACTGGCTCAAGGTTCCGCCCATGCTCCTCCTGACGTCAACCGGCGGGGGAGACCTAATGCACATGCGTGGCAATGGCAGTGCGCGCATTAGACCTCCCTATAGGAAAGCGTTATCCAATGCTTTCCTATGGGGACTCTAGCAACGCTGGAGGTCCTCATGCATAGAGTGAGTACGTCCAGCGTCATTTAAAACACTTTTTGTGTTCTAAGAACACGGAGGTCCCTCTAGTGGATGTCTGGTAGACTGCCACTAGAGGAGGACTTAACCCTGCAAGGTAATTATTTACAGTTTCTAAACACTGCAATAATTACACTTGCAGGGTTAAGGGTGATGGGAGTTGGCACCAAGACCACTTCAATGGGCAGAAGTGGTCTGGGTGCCTGGCGTGTCCCTTTAATGTGCAGAAGACTCTTAATTTCTGCATTCCACAAACATTGTATAAAAGGTTCTGTGCAATAGATTGCTACCTAGCTCACTTTTGCTTTGTATATCTGAGCTAATGTAACTATGATATTTAACCTGCAGTAATTGCCATTTACTGAACCACCATTTCAATGTAATTGGTGTCACAATCATGTCACAAAGTTTTAGAGTTTAACATAAAAGTGAAGTTTTGACTTTAAAAACACCATGTTCACTTTACTTATAATGAACACTGACACAGGAGTACAATTAACATGGTCAGACATATGACTTATATTGTCAATGTTTCATAAAATGAATCATATGAGATACAGATTGTAAAATGATGAACTATGTAGTTATAATAGCCTGTGCTTTGCAAGGTTATGAATGTAAAGGTTTTATAGATGAAGTAATAATTATATTATTCACTGCTGAGTGAATTTTAACAAACTGAAATTACTTCAAATATGTAATTAAATTAAATATGTTTTAAATATATAAAGCTATGTATACATTTCAAACAAAAATATATACAAAAGGTCAAAGCAAATAGTTACTAAGTAGGGTTATGTATTAATCAGGCAATTAAAACTTAAAGGAGATATTTTTGACCATCATGTCTGAGAAGGAAGTAAACTTGCTGAGTTGTGAAACAAAATTTGTAATTTATCTATCAATTCACAATTTCAAAGTTAGCTAATTCTCTTCCAGTTAAATCAAAGTGCCAGTGTAGACAGGTATTTGTTTATGGTAATGCTGTCCTTACATAGTTACATATAGTTACATAGTTACATAGCTGAAAAGAGACTTGCGTCCATCAAGTTCAGCCTTCCTCACATTTGTTTTTTGCTGTTGATCCAAAAGAAGGCAAAAAAACCCAGTTTGAAGCACAATTTTGCAACAAGCTAGGAAAAAAAATTCCTTCTTGACCCCAGAATGGCAGTCAGATTTATCCTTGGATCAAGCAGTTATTACCCTACATTGAAAGATTATATCCTTGAATATTCTGTTTTTGCAAGTATGCATCTAGTAGCTGTTTAAACATCTGTATGGACTCTGATAAAGCCACTTATTCAGGCAGAGAATTCCCCATCCTTATTGTTCTTACAGTAAAAAAAAACTTTCCTTTGCCTTAGACAAAATCTTTTTTCTTCCAGTCTAAACGCATGACCTTGTGTCCTATGTAAAGTCCATTTTGTGAATAGATTTCCACACAATGGTTTGTATTGGCCCAGAATATATTTGTATAATGTTACCATATCCCCTCTCAGGCGACGTTTTTCTAAACTAAATAGGTTTACATTTGTTAACCTTTCTTCATAGCTATGTTCCATTCCTTTTATTAATTTTGTAGCCCGCCTCTGCACTTTTTCTAGGGCCATAATATCCTTCTTTAGAACAGGTGTCCAAAATTGCACAGCATATTCAATATGTGGTCTTACCAGTGATTTATAAAGAGGCAAAATTATATTCTTGTCCCGAGAATGAATTCCCTTTTTCATGCATGACAATACCTTACTGGCCTTGGCCACTGCTGATTGACATTGCACATTGTTGCATAGTTTGTTGTCTATAACAATTCCCAAGTCCTTTTCGTGTGTTGTTTTCCCTAATTCGCTTCCATTAAGGGTATACGTTGCTTGTGTATTCTTTACGCCGAAGTGCATAACTTTGCATTTTTCAACATTAAATTTCATCTGCCATTTGAGTGCCCAGTCCCCAGTCTATCTAAATCCCTCTGCAGCAAAGTAATATCTTGCTCACATTGTATTGTTTTACAAAGTTTTGTGTCATCTGCAAACACTGAAACATGACTTTCAATGCGGTCTTCAAGATCATTTATAAACATGTTAAATAGAAGGGGTCCCAGAACAGACCCCTGAGGGACACCACTGTCCACCTCTGTCCAGCTTGAAAATTTACCATTAATGACAACTCTTTGTACTCTGTTTTTAAGCCAATGTTCTACCCAAGAACAAGCATTTTCATCTAGAACAATTTCCTTGAGTTTGAACACTGATCTATTGTGTGGTACTGTATCAAATGCCTTGGCAAAATCCAAATAGATCATATCCACTGCAACACCCTGATCTATACTTCTACTTACTTCTTCATAGAACGCAATCAAGTTAGTTTGACATGACCTGTGCTTCATAAAACCTTGCTGATTTTTGCTGATAACCATGTTCTCAAGGAATTCTTGAATATTATCCCTTAATAACCTTTCAAATATTTTCCCAGCCACAGAAGTTAAGCTCACAGGTCTATAATTTCCAGGCAAGGATTTTGAACCCTTTTTGAATATAGGAACCACATCTGCCTTCCTCCAATCCTCCGGAACACTTCCTGAAAGAAAAGAATCTTGAAAGAATAAAAACAGAGGTTCACTTATTTCTACACTTAGTTACTTAAGTACTCGTACACTTTCATTTTTGTTTTTTTTAGAATTTATGTACTTAAAAAATGCTTTGGGTTTGGTTTTGCTCTCTTTAGCTATCATTTTTTCATTTTGAAGTTTAGCAAATCTAATTGCCTTTTTGCACACATCCAAAAAATGTTAACTGTAAGCTTCCATTGCTTCAGAATGCTTAGAATTTCCCTCTGAACTCAAATACACATACATAGAAAGTGATGTTTATTGTGCATTAGATATGTGCAAAATAAAAAAATTTGTTTCGCCCAAAAATGTTAACAAATTTTGGGACAGACAAATTTCAGCCATATAGTGGATCAGATTAATTTGGTTCATAAAAAAAAAATTCGATAAAATTAATTAGATGAACCAAAGCAACATGAAAATAGGCCAATCGGTGTGCTGAAAAATACATTATATAGATATTGGCGCATTTTCCCATCATTCAGTTTACAGACCAAGAAAGCAAAAACAATCAACAGAAGAAAAAGGCAAGGAACAGTGAAAAAAATCTATTTTTATATTATTTATTTAACATATGTAAATATATAACTATAGTTTTTTATTGTTTGTTACTGTTCTTCCTTCTTCCTCTGTTAGTCTAATTTGATCTGTAAATAAACTAAAAATTATTTATTGTCGGTACCCTAGCCATCAATCATCTCTCCCACCCCCCAATAATTATTTCTTTGTTTTGAGGCCACAGACGCAGAAGCGTACCTAGGGTCTCCAGCACCCTTGGTGAGGAGCTGTATCGGCACACCACCCCCCAGCCACCCATCATAAAAAAGTAGACATTTTAGTGTTTAATCAATTTCAATTAATCATAATTTTAATAATTTTCTACATCTTTAAAGGTGCTGTTCCTATATAAGTTCTCCACCATGTAAAGGGAAACTAAAGAAACATGTAGTATTATATTTTGATTCCTAATCCTCCCTGTCCCATAAAAAAAATGCATAAAAAGAACTGAAAGTTCCTGAGGTTTCCAGCAGTCACTCAAAGCCCTCCGTGATATATGAAATCACTGCTTGGAGAACTCATACACATGAAATAGCAAAGCTCCATATCCAATGCTTTCCCAATAATGCCAATAATCATTTGTGTTATCAGCCGCAAATCATAAACATATATTTACACACATATATTTAGACTTGTGTGATGATGGTGACATGCCAGAGGAATGCTTGTCACCATATTGCAAGGAAAGTAGAGGCACATTACACCTTATGACAAGCACAACACAGGCCATTACACCTTATTGCAAATACAACATTGATAAATCACACCTTTTTACAAGCATAACACTGGGACATCACACCATACTAGTGCTGGACTTGGGATAAAAACCAGCCTCGCAAAAAGTTTTATACCAAATCACAGGACTTGACCCAGGACTTACATCAGCAAAGAGATTGCACTCACAGGACTTGCCCCAACACTTACCCTATCACAGAAATTGCGCTCAAACGACTTGCCCAAGCACCCATATCTTACCCAACACTGAGATTGCACTCACATGACTTGCCTGAGGACTTCAAACAGTCTCCTGCATGCACCAAGCTGAAGGAAAAAGATGCCGGATATGAGATTTCCGGCAGCAACAAAGGTGGCATCACATTGCCCGAGAGAGTACTCTCTCATACTCTTACGGCTGCATCTCGCCACTGCCAAATTCTTAAAGGCCACATCCCACAGCGGCCCCAGGGTGCACCCTAATACAAACTGGAGTCTTTACTGGTTTCACTACATTTGCAAAAAATGTTTTTATAGCTAACAAATACTTTGGTTGTATCCGATGAACTCTGTCTGAGTATAGGGGGACTGCATGTGATGTATTAGGGTGTCCAGGTGTAATGGGGACTGCATATTGGGCTGTGTCAGTGTAATGGCAGTTTGTGTGTGATATATTTTGCGGCATGTGATGTATTTTATTGTCTTTGTGTGATAGTGTGATGTTATTGAGCTGTGTACATATGATAGAAACTGTGTGTTGGCATTGGGCTGGTTGTCTGTGATCAGAATGTGTGTAATCATTTGTGCTCTCAATGTGTAATAGGGACTGCTTTTGTTTGTGATGGTTTTGGGCTGTCTGTGTATGGTGGGACTAACTGTGTTTGTTTTTGAATGACAGTAATAACCACTAATGAGTAGATAGACTAATGTAACTGGTTATCTGTGACCTGTATAAAAGTAGATGAATCCTAGAGCCACACAAACTAAAATTAAGTGTTTCATTCTCACACAATATTTAATCCTGGGTACATACATATCATCTGCTCAAAAGCTTCACTTTGTTACTTACTGTCTTAGTAGTAATGCCACTGTCTGGGATGTCCACTCTATACTCTCCCTCAGTCCCTATGCCAACTGCAGTCTCAACCGGTAGGTAAGGTGTCAACCTTGTTGTAGCCGCATTATCCGCTCCGCTCGCTCCCTCCCTAGTCCCTCTGCATTCTCCAGGCAGGGTAAGATGTGACTGCACTCTCCGCTCACTTCTCCTCCCATCCATGTCTCTTCTATCCCCCTTCTGTTCTCTGTTCCACTTCCATCCATGTCTCTCCCCCCTTCCATCCATCCATGTATCTAATTTTTTATCCAAATCTCTCTCCCTTCCATGTCTCTCCTACCATTTATTCATATCTCCCCCCTTCCATCCATGTCTCTCCCCCTTATGTCTCTCTTCCATCCATTATTCCCCCATTGTCTCTCTTTCATCCATGTCTCCCTCCCCTCTTTCATATCTTCCATCCCAATCATAATGCTTTCACATTGAATTGGTTGAGCTTGTCAAGGAGGCAGATCAGGGGCAGAGCCAGAACAAGCCAAACACAGCCCTGGCCAATCAGAATCTCCTCATAGAGATGCATTGAATCTCTATGAGGAAAGGTCAGTGTCTCTATGCAGAGGGGTGAGACACTGATTGTCAGTCACGTCGTGCAGCACTGCCTAGCAGTCATATGGGGAGTGGCCATTGGAGGTATCCAATGTATACACAGCATTTTCTCTGAAATTACAGTGTTTACTGTAAAAAGCCTTAATGCAATGTTTATACTCATAAGAATAATAAGCTGTAGTTGTCCTAGTGACTATAGTGTCCCTTCAAGTTTCTAATGTTCTTGTCAGTTTTCCACGGTTACTGGTTTAGTGAATAAATACTAAACTGAAATTGCAAACATAGGATATAACCTAATTTTATCCCATCTGTCTTTCACAGACCCTGGAGTGTATCATTATGAAAGCATAATGAGCAATTAAAAGGTGTTGCTTTCTATAGGGATTTTATTCTTTTATGTGCACGACCATACATTTTTATTCAGAATTTCTGCTAAATAGCATGATTCTCAACATTGCAAGTTACAGTCTTCTAAAGCTGTATTTTTTTTAATCAACATGCTGAACACCATATGTTTTGGCAAAAGTTGTAGGTGTTGAATAATCTGTTGGAGCACTTAAAAAATCCATCCAGGTATAACTCAAAATGTAAATAAACAAACAAACAAACAAAACACACAACATAGATTTAAATAAATTAAAGCTTTATTCGTGAAAACCCATGAATGAAGATCTTTGTGCTGGTGTCTTGATAGATACTGGATGTGAAACGTTTCTAATAATAGTACAAGCATGCATGCATGGACTCTTTTCCCACAATAAAGATGGAGGTTCTACCCCCACCAGTATTGCATCTCATCATCTTAAAGTCTGCAGTGATCCTGTAGCCAATTGCACAAGCTATTCTACCAGAACTAGTGGATACCTCTGGTTCTTAAAGACTGAACAGAAGATGGGCAGAGAGCCCAACAGAAAAGTGATGCTTAATTGTTCCAGGACACTGATATAAAACTACAAGATTGGATTCTGTAAGTCTTGCCTTTGAAGTCTTCAAGAACAGATGAAGAAATTACAGACTTTTTAATGCTGATTTAGTATGTCCAATAACATATTGTAATAATTAACCAGGGTTTGTTTAATTTCCAGAGAGATGCAGCATATCTTATAATTTGCATAAAAGAAAACAGACTTTTTTTTATGCCTGGGAAACGATAACTCCATCCAGTAAATATTTTATTGTGAAGCAGATTCTATATGTCGTCTTTTAAAGCAGCAACTTTCATATATTTCTAAATAAAATAATTACAAAGTATTTCATTTGGCCTGTCTACCATAGGATGGATAGTCCAGTGCTCAAATTACTCCCAGGTTTATGTTTTAGTCATTTGCTTTCACTACCTACATAAAAATATATGTAAACAGAATATGTTCCATTATTCTTCTGGCACACAATAATGTCATACCAAATATCTTCAAGAGGCTCTGTCATGTTTTTTTTTTTTCTTTAATTTGTTATGGGCAAATGCAAATATTAAAAGTTTTAGAATTAAATGTTGTATTTCTTAAACTGTATACTTTGTCTTTAAGAGATATTGCAAATTGACAAGGTGTTAGAAATGGAACATATTGTTTTTCATAGATGTTTCTTTAACCCCTTAAGGACCGAGGACGGTTCAGGACCGTCATCGGCATTTTTGCCTTGCCGACCGATGACGGTCCTGAACCGTCCTAACGGTCTGGGGGTACTTACCTGATCGCCGTCGTTCCCCCGGCGGCGATCAGTGTTCCTCCGGTTGTGGGGAGACTGCCTGCAGCCCAGACAGTTTCCCCACGGCAGATTAGGACCCCTGTGGCCATGTGATCGCTTAACACAGCGATCACATGGTCACAATAGGTGTCCTAGTGTCTGCCTGCAGGGGGACTGTCTGTGCTGACAGGCAGTCTCCCTGCTTGTGTAAAATCAGAAAAAAAAAATAAAGTTAGTGTTAATTAAAAAAAAAAAATAATTATATATGTGTATATATGATATATAGACATATATTATATCTATATAATATATGTCTATATATCATATATATAATGCCATACTAAGTGTATTTTTATATTAATATGTACTTATATTAATATAAAAATACACTTATAATTAAATTACACACGTATATATATAATATATATAATAACTATATATATTGTATATATATATTATTATAAAATATAAATAATAAGTAATTTAAATTAAATAAAAAATTTTTTAAATAATAATAAAAAATTTTAAAAAAATTATATAGCTATATGAAATTTTATTCTAACTGTATTTTAAAATTAATATATATATATTTATATCAAAATACACTTAGAATGAATTTGTATATATATCTATGTATATAAAAATAAATAAAAATAATAAGAAATATACATATGTCCATATACAAAATTACATAAATAATTATATAAATATACACGTAGACTTCAAATATATAAATATGCATATATATTTAAATTCTACGTGCGTATTTATGTAATATTTTTACATAATTCAGTAATTTTATTGATTGCAATTTGAGGGACCTGCCTGCCAACCCAGGCCGAAATTCCAGAGAATTTAATTTGCTAGCACTGTATTTTACCCTGTAACGTTCTACGACACCCTAAAACCTGTACATGGGGGGTACTGTTTTACTCGGGAGACTTCGCTGAACACAAATATTAGTGATTCAAAACAGTAAAACATATCACAGCGATGATATTGTCAGTGAAAGTGACTTTTTTGCATTTTTCACACACAAACAGCACTTTTACTGATGATATAATTGTTGTGATACGTTTTCCAGTTTTTAAACACTAATATTTGTGTTCAGCGATGTCTCCCGAGTAAAACAGTACCCCCCATGTACAGGTTTTATAGCATTTTTGAAAGTTACAAGGTCAAATATATGGGTCAAATATTTTACATTGAAAATGGCCAGGTTGGTTACGTTGCCTTTGAGAGCGTATGGTAGCCCAGGAATGAGAATTACCCCCATGATGGCATACCATTTGCAAAAGAAGACAACCCAAGGTATTGCAAATGGGGTATGTCCAGTCTTTTTTAGTAACCACTTGGTCACAAACACTGGCCAAAATTAGCGTTCAATTTAGTTTTTTTACTTTTTTCACACACAAACAAATATGAATGCTTACTTTGGCCAGTGTTTTCGACTAAGTGGCTACTAAAAAAGACTGGACATACCCCATATTGAATACCCTGGGTTGTCTACTTTAAAAAAAATATGTACATGTGGGGTGTTATTCAGAGATTTATGACAGATAATAGTGTTACAATGTCACTATTGATAAATTTTAAAAATGTATGTTTTGAAACCGCAATATCCTACTTGTACCTATAGCCCTATAACATGCAAAAAAAAAGCAAAAAAGCACGTAAACATTAGGTATTTTTAAACTCAGGACAAAATTTTGAATCTATTTAGCAGTTTTTTTCATTCGCTTTTGTAGATGAGTAAAAGATTTTTCAAGTAAAAGTCAAAAAACATGTATTTTTTTCAACTTTTCATCAGATTTTTTTATTTTTTTTAAATTAAAATACATGAGATTATATAAATAATGGTATGTAAAGAAAGCCCCTTTTGTCCTGAAAAAAACAATATATAATTTGTATGGGAACAGTAAATGAGAAAGCGGAAAATTACAGCCAAACACAAACACCACAAAAGTGTAAAAATATTCCTGGTCGCAAATGTACAACATCGCAAAAACAGTCCAGTCCTTAAGGGGTTAAGCAATAACCTCAGTGCATATTATGTTTACGCCATTTTGTCCCAGACGAATTACAATAACAATAATGCATAAACAAGCTTCAAGGCTATCCTATGA